AGTAAATCATCAAGAAAAGGAACGCGTTACAGTAACGTCATATACTTTTGCCTTGAAAAAGGAACTAGTTACCAGTTCCGTTACCCTCCCCTGAAAAGTAACTCGTTACCTAAAAAGTTACTGAAAAAAGTAATTAGTTACTGCAACGCGTTACTTTTACTTCGTTACCGCCCAACACTAGATATGGGATATACTATCTATATTTTTACTTTTCAAATAATTTCATCTTCGAGTTCTCTTTGATCGTCGATTCTTCCCTAGGTACATTCGAAGGAAAGGGAAAGTGGACTTGGAGGAAGTCATCAATGCCATCTTGGGTTCTGTTGTCGCTGTAACCGCCGGCTGTGCTTTTTACGAGGTAAATTAATGAAGACGCCTCGATCTAATGGCATGGGGAAGGTAAGTGGGATTCTCATTTCCTGGGGAATAAAATGTTAAAAGTAGATTAAAGAAAAGAGGAATGTGATGAAATATAAAATATAATAAATATAACTGAATGTTTAAAACATATATTTAAAAAATTCCATTATTGTGGTACTTGCGGATGATTAATGTTATTCTAAAAAGATCAGATGGAATGTGCCTCCGATTGTGATGTAATTTATGCAAATTTGCATAATGATCGACCAGCAAAATCTGCTTGACATCTCTCACCCCCAACTCGATAGGTATTTTAAATTTTCTGTATCATCTTGCTGGCTTAAAACCGCGTTTTCATGTTTCTTTCCATACCGAGGTATATGTATCGCTTCTTTTTTTGCTGAAGTTTACATAAATACGTATTTTTAAAATAAGGGAAATGATAAGGATAGCCCGCTGTAGGGATCTGTTCCTTCCTTTCAAGCCGTGGGAGTCATTAGTGGTGGGTTGTCTCGGTGGCTTCTCGGTTCTCCTCTTTTTCCCCCTCTACGACTTGCTTCGGATCGACGATCCCGTTGGAGCTTTCGCCGTCCACGGTAAGCTGAGACTGACTGGTTCGAATTTTCCATCACAGATCGATATCGAACGGGTATCTTCGATTTGGTTTCCGCCAGCGCGAATATGTTGCATCGTTGACGGCAATAAATTATTGACGAGCGGTGAGAAATTATTTGCACTGATGTTGAGACTGCCCGTTTTCTCGCGAGTTTCTCGTCCACTTCTTGGCGAATAGTGTGATGGCGATGGAAGCATGCACATGCTAAAGACCTTGGGGAAGCTAAAATCCGTATAATACTGCTCCATAAGTCCCACCTGTACTTAGGATTAGTAATACACTCTAGTAACTGATAGAAAAGTTGAAGGCTTACATGAAAAGGTCTCGCCGTCGCTCGCGTGTAAGTGAAACAGTAAAGAATGGATGTAGTATTCGGACGTTTGTTTATAGGTGTAGGGGGATTGTGTGGAACGTTATGCGTGGGGATCTTCATGAATATGATCATATATGGTGCTAGGTTTGCAATGTTCATGATGCTAACATGAACTATACGGGAAAAATACTGTATTTAGAATATATTTGGAAACTGTTCTGTCCATGTAATGTCTTTGGATGCACACGCATGCACGTTGAGGCCTTCCACATAGCCTGACATCTAGCAATTTGTTCAATAAATATAAAATTCTCACAATATAATCGAGGTCGCGCTCATCCCGCCGCTATATGTCTCCCGATTCCCCAAATGCTAATGAATGGTTCTGCAGAAGGTTTCACCCTCAACTCACTAATTTCCCACGTACAAACCGAAGGAATGAAGTAGTTTTAATCGATGCATATGTCGAGAGACGTAACCTAGCTTAAGGAAATTCCAGGTAATTCTTGCTCAGTGCATAGAGGAAGTGAGGTTCCCCTTGTCAGGTGAGTCACAAAAGCATCTGTGAAAGTTTCGATGTTGAGTGACTCTGCCTCTGAGCCTCTGCCTCAATCTGCCATTAATAATGCAAGCGGGGGCCATCTACTTATATTGCAAATTAAGAACCGTATAAGGGACCTGTATATTAAGAATGATCAAAACACACCAAAATGTTATTTGTGCCATATACATTGCAACTAAGCACCATATAAGGGGCTTATATATGAACCACGTATAGCTCCATATTCATTAAGAATAGCCAAAACATTATATGAACTGCACGGCTTCCAAATACAGTCTCCCATATATCATTTTTATTTGTACCATGTACATTCCGAGCAAAGCACCCCTGTATGACCATATTTGATGTCGCGAATGAAATCTGAATATAGTGTTCCCATAAGGGGTAGTTTTCGGACGTTCGCTTATAGGTGTAGGGGGATTGTGTGGAACGTTATGCGTGGGGATCTTCATGAAGAAGGACACTCTCTTGCATCTGGCTATATACGATGGACTTGTTTACGGTGGGGGGTTTTATCTGCTGGGGATACAGACTCTGGGTGCTCTCTGCATTTCCTTCTGGACCGCAGTCACCACCTTCCTTTTCCTGAAGGTCTTATTCCATATTTCATTGTCCTTGCAGCTTAGAGGCATTTGTCTAAAATAGGAAATGATGAGAGGGGCTGGTTGACGCACAGATTGTGAATTTGCTGATTCCGATCCGGATGAAGCCCTACGAAGAGATCCTGGGTGCGGATTTCGTGGAGCACAACATCCGACACGCGGGGATCGACTACGACGGGATCATGAAGGCATTGGAATTACGGGGACATGTCATCAACGAGCCTTGGTGTCATTCCATCCATCCCGAACTTCAGGTGCTTCACTGACTTTATGTTTCTCTTTTCAGTCTCCCCTTTGGTCACATGAGAAGGATCTCATATCTGACTGCGTCTGCCAGCGGTGATACCCTTCTGGGTTCCGTTATGGGCGTCACAGACGATGTCATGACCCGAGCTTATAATTGCTTGGAGCCAGCAATTCGTTATCCATGACAATTATTGCCAGAATAAGTAGATCTAAAGCTCTCCTCGATGAATCTGCTCTTCTATTCATCGTAGATTTGTTTAAAGTTCCTTAGAAAGTCGCTCATATCCTATACTCTAATCTGGCACTTACGAGCTATCAAAGAAGTTATTTAACTTACTTGGGAGCAAATGCTAGAAATAGTCCCAGGTTTCCGATTAAAATATTGGGCAAGATATTTCATTCTCGTAAAATTGTTTTGCTAAAATCTAAAATTTTTTTATTATTTCAAAGTCCGGTCTTGTTGGCTTCTGATGCACCTCTATTCATACCGCACTTTTGTCGTTTCTCCATGCTGAACTTTGCTGGCATTTAACTTCAGCGGTTATACTATCCTGCAAAGGAGATAAAAATGTCAATCTATTAACTAGATGTCCTGACCACATGTGAGCCAATAAATTCGTGATAAATCCTGTAGACATCCCTCGCATGGCCATCATGCATCCCATAGATGAGTTCAGCATGAACCCTGAGGATATCGGGATGACATTACTGGTAGTCCTTGGGATGTGTCCTTGAAATGTGTCCTTTGAAATAGTTCAACTTAGTGGGAAATTCGTGGTTCTTATGAATTAATTTAGAATATTAGAATTTTTTAGAATCTTAACTTGAAATGACCTTTCTTCCGAAGAAGTCCTCGCAACAACGTTGAAACCATTTCGACGCATGTTTGGCGAGAGGTTTTAAACCGTCATGCTCGTATGATTCTAGCGTCAGGCGGCACTGAGGGAATGGTTCAGAGAGCTGAAGGCGACCGGGAGGATCTCCTCCGCCACGGGACACGTGAAACCCAAGGATGGGAAGAATGCAGAGGAAGGAGAGATGAGGAACTTCTTCAACGTGGAATGGACGACTCTCCGTCGTCCCATTGCTTTCCAAAGAAAATAGAAACATCTTTGGATGCATCCACATCAGCGATCGACAGTCTCTTCAAGCGAGGAGATGTGATTGGCGATGTGGAGCCAAGGATCTTGTTAACTGCATTTCCTCTAAACACTTGATGCTTTTGTTTCTCCGCTATCCAGAAAATAAAATTTTGCCGATGATGGAAATTGCAAGGGTCTACATTAAGTTGACACGTGCGTCGTTCTTGCTCTCGTTCGTTTCCCGGCGATTGCGTGTATGTTATTTTCATCTGTTCTTGTCTTGTTCGTGAGACTACCCAAGTAACACAGTATGTTGATGAAACGATTCTGAAATGTTGCCTATGTTTCTCTATGTTGCAAGTTGATCTACAACAGTGATATAACATTGCTTCAATGTTTTCACTTGGAATGTTGCTGCGACACTTGCTATCAACATTGAGAGAATTTTGACACTCTTGACATCGACAACGTGGCGACAACATTCTGATACAACATGGACTTAGAAGTAGTGCCTTGCCAAATGTCTCGCATTGTCTCATTATAGGAATCAACGAACAATGGATACATCACTTGTTATCCTCATATTCGAGACAGATTCATGGAGTCAAGATAAAAAAAGCTCTTCTGCCCAAAAATTACCCTTTCCAAGAGTTCGTCCATTACATCCTACATTGTAATAAAACGATGGCAGACAGTCTGTGAACTCAATCCTTCATATCATCCTGAGAACTAGATGAGATAAAAATGCACTGATTTCGTGGACACTCCATAAACAAGGCGGTCGGACCTTTCACCTCGAAGATCACCTCGAAAAATGTCCTATGTCTCCTGCCTGTACATGATACAGATACTGTATTATGCATGGGTGGGGCTTATACCAGTACAGGCCTGTTGATGGGAATGTCTGAGTAGAGGTAACGTATATGGTAGGAAATGATGGAATAAATAATTCAATATAGGTCGAATATCGGTCCACTTCGGGACCAGTGAAGCCTATGCTTTTCCGTAATGCCAATACAGACCCGGATTAATTGCCAATGAAGCAACGTTTTAAATCAACATTGCAGCAACATATATCCTGAAATGTTTCTGCAACGTATATGTAATGAATAAGTAACGATTTGCAACGAAAATGCAATGTTCCTTCATTTGAGCGACGTTGACGTTTTGGACATTTACGCGTAGATGCAGCATTCTTTATCAACATTTCCTAAAAGTTGCTGGAATATCTCGTGTTACTTGGGTATCAGTTCAATAAAGTTCCTAATGCAGCCTTCCATCAGAATGCTCACGCATCCAGAATACCCAAAGTTTATTTTCGGTCGAAGCTTTCGCCAAAACTTGACCAAAGCGCATGAATGCATCGATTTAAGACAGGTTGTGAAGAGGAGGATATGTAATATACAAGGTGAATATGTGATCGAGGAATGCTCACCAGGCAGGACGAATTCATGATGAAAGTGAATACACGTACGTCACTCGTTTAGGATTCCTTGCTGCCTGGGTTAAGAAGAGCAAGCATATGAAGCTCGACCCGATTATCAGCAGGGAAGCTGCAAAAACGCGAAGTTCCAGTTTTTGGCACGCCATTTCCTGTCGAGAGAACTGCATTCAGGCCATGCTTATTTCCGAAGGAGAGCCGTGATTATTCGACATTGACCGATTTTCTACGTCCATTCACGAGTCCCCTTTCAAGCGCTTGACGCTTAACCCCGTTTCTCTGAACAAGTTTCGACTTTGACTGCGAGGTTATTGCATGAATTTCCAAGGGGGAATGACGGCAGATGGTCGTGAGGAGGCATTCATCGCGCAGTATTTCTAATGCTTTTCATCGAGAGAATTCACATGCAGCTGTAAAATCGATTTATGTTCGACATTTATCTCACTAGACCAATATTCATTCGATCTGGTTTCTTTTGAATTGAATGCGTTCGATGAGCAACCATGGCTTCCGCGTGCAGTGTTCGTTTGGCAGGTCGTTCAGAAAATCGTTTGTTCTGAATTCCTTACGCAATTTCCGAATTTGCGTTGCCGGGTTTGGGTTCCAGGCTGAAAGATATTTTGATGAATTTTTTTCCAAACCAACTGAAATTTAAGAAATACAAACTAATATTGATAGCACGTAAAATAAATTAATAAAAGAAACAGTTTCCTCAAGTGCCAGTCGCATGAGCGCTTACAATTATTGCTCGTCAAAGTTAGGCACTAGGCAAGAAATTACGTTCGCTTGTCCAGGGAGATTTTTAATACTTTAAATCTGGATATCTGGAGGTATATTCACCTGGATCAAAATACAAGAAAGTGCGAGCCAGGTGGATTTCCCTTAGATGGGACATCCACCAGAATTCAAATTCACTTCCCATCCACCTCTTATCCACCTGTCATTCACTTCTTGTTTCCAGTGGATCCACGTGGACATTTTGTTCGGGTAAGTTGCTAGGAAAGTCCCGAATTACATTCGTCTCCATGAAATTCACTTCAGAAGCGAACTCCAGAGAATTTTCAACCTGGAACCACAGACAAAAACTCGGAAGGAGTTTGAGGGGATGAGACCGTAAGATGATGAGGAAAAACAATAAATACGGAATAAGAAAATCAGAAGATACCTCCGACAGAACAGGCATGCGCGACTGTTTTTAGAAGTCGTTAAATGTATAATGGATATCGTAGATTCATGACCACCAGAGAAGTTCTTCGAGAAAGAACGGCTAAAAGTAGGACCAAGACCAGAATGTATTCATTGCTTTCTTGATCCTTCTGACCTTTCGGAATGACGAACCGATCGGCAGTCCATGCCCTGCAGTCCATGTCCAACCGTGAAGATGGCAGGTGGGAAGCTGATTCACTCGAGTTCGGGTGTGAATTCCGACGATGCCACCTGGATTCTCACTTCGTCCTTCATCATCTTCACCATGCAAACAGGTGGATCATTCGTTCTCCGTTATCGTCGATTCCTGCACTCACGATGAAATTAATTTGCTAGGTTTTGGGATGCTGGAGGCCGGAAGCGTGACAAAGAAGAACGAAGTGAACATCCTGATGAAAAACGTGGTGGACTTGGTCTTCAGAGGGATCACCTATTGGGCATTCGGTTTCGGCCTTCAATACGGCTCGGGTCCTGGGACGAATCCCCTTTTCGGGGTTGGCAATTTCCTGTTGAACGAGGATGGACAGGATGAAATGGGATTCGTTTACGCAAAGTTCATCTTTCAGGTCCTCTTCTCATTTTTTTTTGCGCAATTTCACTTCGTTTTCATGGCGACCTTGTGATATCAGATTGACACGTCGACCGTGACTTACAATGCAGTCTGAAAAATCTAGCGAGGTCCTAGACTTAAAATGTGAAAACGTCATGTTTCGTAATTGTCCAATATAGTCGTACGTCATGATCATAAATGTGGTTAATATATTAAAGAATCCATTTCTCAATCGTGATTACCACCCATTTTCCTATGGGAGGATGAAAATATTCCTTAAAGAAAACGAGTCAGTCATTCAAAGAAATTCCTCCAGCATCACTCAAAAGAATTTTGACATTGCAAGAAGACAACCTTATCATAATATTTTTATTGTATTTTCTATGAGAATTATGTATTCGCTTATTTAAAAAATCGTCTCGTCCGGACAGTGGAAGAGAAATCTCATTTTTCGCTCTAGAAGAAAGGTCCCTTCTTAGAGATGAATCTCATGGCTCCAGTCGCTAAAATTCAGACACTGACATTAGAGAAGTTAGCTGGGTTTCTCTTTCCTAATCTGCAGAATGAATTCATGAATGAGATGAATTGTTTCACGGGCAATAAAATTCGGTTCAACTGGATAGTTGAATGACCAATACAAAACCTAAGATGCGAAGTCAACTCTAACCGGGTCGGGTTATATGTGTATGAATAGCATTAGAGACGAAGAATTAACCTTTTCGTTCACATCGTCAACCAGGACGAATATTTCCATACCAGATACATTAAAGATAGGTATCGACATGCGAAATTTCGTTTGCTAGAGAATCTTACAGAAATTCATTGGCCACGGATTGGATGATGAAATCTCTTATTGAAACTTCGGCAGATGTCATTTGCGACGACGGCGACGACTATTGTGTCCGGAGCGATGGCTGAAAGGACCAAGTTCAGTGCATTCTGCCTCTACTGTTTCCTCATCGTCATCACCTACAGCGTCCCTGCAGGTAAAGTTGACATTGCATCCCAAGCACGAGAGGAGAGAGAAGCGGAGGAATGGGATGCATATGGCTAGGGCCTCCCGTGTGGGCAGGTTGGGTTTGGGGCGATCATGGATTCTTGAGGTTCATGGGGTTCGTGGACTTCACTGGATCGAGTGTCGTTCACCTTCTCGGTGGAGTCGCCGCTCTCGTCTCAACTCTCTTGCTCAAACCGCGAATTCATAGGTTTTTCATCTCCCTTTTCCCTCTGAAAATCCGAACATTTCCGAAGGAAACAAAGAAGTATTCTCGCCTTCTTCTGCACAAGGTTTGATGGACTTCAAGAACTTCCCCCAAAGGAAAGCCGAACCAACTATATTGTCGGGACCTTCACTCTATGGCGAGTTACAAGCCTTATTCAATTTAAGCAAATACCTATATCATATTATATTTGATGATTCGGATATTTAAAAACAACAGGTGGGGTTGGGTGGGGTTCAATTGCGGATCCACGTTCGGGATCACGGGAGAGAAGTGGCATTACGCCGGTCGAGCAGCCATCTCGACAGTGAATGCCTCCATCGGTGGAGGAGTCGCAGGACTCATTTACACGTAAGTACTGAACGAATGATGTCGGATGAAGAATCATCCTAAGACTATGGAAAATGTGCGTATGACTGGAGGTTCCATTTCGATGGCGGAATTACTCCAATCAGAATGCCACTAAAGCAACACAAAAAAAAACCTTCACCTTCCATAGTCTTTCCATTAGTATTTCCATCGATCGTTGATATTTCCCTAGGTACATACGAAAGAAGGGTATAGTGGACTTGGAGGACGTGATCAATGCTATCTTGGTTTCAGTCGTCGCCGTCACTGCTGGCTGCGCCTTCTACGAGGTATATCTTAGCAGGCAACAAGTAGCCCGGTTGAAAAAAAATGCCACAGACAGGATACAGTGCATTGGAAAACATATTTACCATGCTGCGTAACGTTCCATCTTTCATTTAATACCATGTTTCACGTACCATATGGTTTCATGCACTATATGACATATATATGTACACAATGAATTAACTATAGGAAAAAGCATGGATAATATCGTTTTGCTCGTGGATAGCAGGGGTTTTAATCAAGTAGCAAGGTCTGATATCCCATGCATTAATTTAGAGTGCTAATATAAGTCTTTGACACTGTGCAGAGTAGAAAGACGATGTGAATCATCCGCTTCACATCCGTCATTACCACTTCAATATGAATTATTTTTATTCTGGCCCCTATGACCTTCCTTGCTGCATCCGACTTTTTCTTTATGTTTATAGAAAATTAACGTCGAGGCAGATTCAATCCGTCCAACGTGGAACGTATTACTGATGTTTTAAGGGTTTCCTATCTAAAGTTGCTTCTTCTGCTCCTTCTTTCCCAGCCGTGGGAGTCGTTAACAGTGGGTTTCCTGAGTGGCCTCGCGGTTCTCTTCTTTTTCCCCCTCTACGACATTCTTCGAATCGACGATCCTGTCGGAGCCTTCGCCGTACACGGTAAACTGGATCAGAAGGATTAGAGCTTTTCGTCATACCCTGTCATTGACAGGCATTAGGGATTTGGCTTGTGAGGGTGGTGGAAGTGCGGCGTCGACACAGCTTGAGAGCAATTTTGGTATGGGGATTGAAAAAGGAAAAGCTAAATCCAAGCAGTACTGAATTTAGGATTTCTTTAAATATTCATTTATATTTCCAATTAGGAAGAACATACTTCGCATATATACATTTTAAAATTTGTGATTCTTTCTAATCTGAACAGCATGGGAAATATTAGGCTATTGCCATAACGGAGAAAAGAACCTTTCCTTTTTATTTCTTCGCATTTTCTTAAATGTCATACCCTACATATGAATAAACTGTCGTGTATGTTTACTCGTATCTTCGTATATTACAAGCCTGCCCTTTTCGGAATAATTCTGTTGCATTTTTCTGTTTTCTTTTTGTAAATTTCTCCAATTTGATCAAAACCATAATATTGCAATGAAGTGCATTTCAATGGAAAATATTCATTTTGGAATCCTTCAAGGATATTTGCATCATATTTGAATGTCTTTCTGCAAGGCTTTTACTCTTCGTTCAGTAAATGGTTGAAGTGAGAGATATACAGTCCAAGGCCGTGAATTATTATTGTTTCTTAGATGGATTCATGGTGGATTATTCACAGAACTTACGACTAAGTTCTGAGAAGTGAAGCTCTGATGCAAACTTTTTGCAGACATATTTTTGCCAAATCGAGAATCTGTTTAAACAAACGAATACCTTGTCACTCTTCATGTAGGAGTCATTGGAAATCAAGGATCTCAATACGTTGATTTTTAGGAATCGGTGGACTGTGTGGAACGTTGTGCGTTGGGATTTTTATGAAACGGGACACTCTTGAAGCTGGTTAAGTATGATGGACTCATTCACGGCGGCGGTTTTTATCTGTTGGGGATCCAGGCTATGGGTGTCCTCAGCATTTCCGTATGGAGCGCAATCACCACCTTCATCTTCCTGAAGGTCTTCTTTCCCATTCTGATTTGCACTCATTATGTGCGTATTTAAATCATTACCAGTATATTGATGAATGGGTTGGTGGATGCACAGGCGGTGAATCTACTGATTCCGATCCGGATGAAGCCGTACGAAGAAATCCTGGGTGCGGACTTCGTGGAGCACAACATCCGACACGCGGGGATCGACTACGACGGGATCATGAAGGCATTGGAATCACGGGGACATGTCATCAAAGAGCCTTGGTGTCATTCCATCCATCCCGAACTTCAGGTACCTCCCTCACGAACCGTCATCGTTTCAGTCTAATTCAAGTGTTCCACTATATCCCTACCCATGAGCACAGTGAGACAGGCATCGAGGTACTGTGGGACATTTTCTGCTTTTTATAAGTAAGCACCAGAAAAATGCAAAAAATTCCCTCCCCTTATTCCTTGCTATCAGATTTATATTTTGCTTGCTTGCTTCTTTTTCTTGATTTTGAAGGATGCCGCTACAATTCCAGGTTTTCTGGGGTGTCTGTTGTTATGCTCGACCTGCCAACATATCCCCTCTTTCTCTTTTCATGGTATATATTTTGTTCAAAACCTGAAAAAGGGAATCCATCAACATATTGAACAGCATTGGGACAGAGTTACGCACCAGTCTACACCATGACCAGCCCTCCCACGATAACCTGAGCAACCAATTTCGAAGTTTCATGACGGAGAATCTCTCAACCGATTTGACAAAATACAAAGGAATAATATTTCATAGAACTGAAGCACTGCCGTTGAAATGAATGGTGCGAATTAAGAAACGTATTTTTGATCTAGAACAATCATTCTATCATGCAAGGTATTTGGTCAGGTGACATAAAATTTGAATATCACTGATTGATTCACGATCGCCACTTAATCTAGGTAGATGTAAGGGGTGATATGACGGCACTTACAGTAGACTTACATGCCTCTCTATCTAGTTTGAGGCAACTAAGTGTGTCCCACTATACACCAGTCTCCCCTACTATGCAATGTCTGGCTCTGATCGCGTTAGAGAGAAAGTGTTCTTGACAGCATTCTGTATTTCACGGTATTCACTTTGGTACTTCGCCAGAGCCGAAGTTCTCTCTCTCTTGCTCTCGTCATCCGGGAACTTAGACCCAGTTCCCAGAAAATGACAATTATGTTTGAATCAAGAATAGAAAGGATCCTGAGGGAGACTTATTACCCGTGTTTTGATCTAAGTATGACTTGAGGTTTAGATCAGTCATTCCCATGTGATTCCAGCGTCAAGCGGCAATGAGGGAATGGTTCATGAGCCTTAAGACGACAGGGCGGATCTCCTCCGCGACCGGAGAGGTGAAGCCCTCCGGCGGGAGCAATAGAGAGGAATGGAAAAGTGAGATGGGGAAATTCTTCAACGTGGAATGGAGCGCCCTTCGCAGTCCTGTTGCTTCGCCAAGAAAATAGATGTTTTTCTGAACCTCCATACATCCCTGCCGTTACCACTTCCTAAACTGATGAGAAGGGACATGGAGTCAGGAAAGATCCAGAAGTCTGCAAATCCTCGTCACTTGGTGTTCTTCCGCCTCTTCATCCTAAAAATGAAAATTCACTGAATAACTGCAACATGTTCCGCTGACTGATTAGACCCTCACGCGACAGGCACCGGTCACCAACGGTCACGTCACTCAAAGGATGCCTGTGCGTCTCCGGCGTCGATATATTGCGTAGAATATTATCATTCGGAGAACTTTCGCCATTTGGGTCATATCATTCCTCGCAATGCGATGCATGGACTTAACAATGGCAATATCGCCAACGTGAGTGGAATAAAAAAAATTCTGTCATGAAATGTTTGTATATTCTACAGAACTCTGACTCTCTCGTCCCCTACAGTGTTTATGCCATACGCTTTGCTTTCTTTCTCCAACTTACGATAAAATTCTGTAAAACTGGTAAAACCTCAAAAGTAGGCAATCTAAAAATTCAACTGCTCATGTTGATGAGGAATTCCTACCGCAAAACACGTACGATGGATCGGATTATCCACGTTTTCCATGGATGATCTGTGACTAAGATCTCGGAGTTCAATTTTTGCGATCGTACTTCGCCGAAAAACTCAGGAAAAAAGTTTATGAAAAAAGTTGAGTAGGTTTTGTGTGATCATAGAACATTGTTCGCTTCATGGAAAATTATATATATATACTAGCGATATATATACTATATATTTATATATATTTAATATATATATATTTAATATATTTAAGAAAAACGTTTCCCTAAAAAATGTGTACCCCAGGGCATGTACCTCCAAAGTGGTATTTTTTTCTGAACTCAGCATCCCAAAAGGTACATGTGTACCAAGTTTCAGATTTCTAACCCTTCTAGAACATGGTTAGAATTAGCGTCAGTCGGTCAGTCAGTCACGATCGTCTATATATATTAGATATCTATTCATTTTTCCCATTATGTACAAGATGAACCTATCAATATGTACCACTTCTCCTCACTTCAAACGTGGCGGTCGCTGGAACCACTTTTTCCGTTTGGAGCTCGAGAAAAGACATTCTAGGAGGTGGACCATGTTAAGTCCTTGAATTGTAAACGTATTCTTTTCCCGGCAATTTCTCACCTGACCCGTTCCTTCTCTTCATCATGCGAGACTCGTGCATCTGATTTGTCAGTAACAGTAACAACAGTAGCAACGAAAGTCTGGAATGAGCACGACGAAAATTCCGGATTTCTTGTTCTTTTTTACCATGTCATCGAGGTTCGTGTTGGTATCAATGTTTCCCTGAAATATTTTCTCAACTCCATTTTTATTTCTTCCCTCCACTCTGCATCCTAATCGCTAGTCGCAGACACGGCCCTTGGTCCCGATCTAGCATTATGGCGACAAAGTTTCGGCGCCGACTTCATCTTCAGCGTCTTCCGAAAGTGAGAAATTTCGGTTCACCGGCGACGCGACTGCGTGGAGGCTACGAAGTCTCGCCCGTCTTTAAAGGGCTATCATCGTAGGCAAGGGCTGCTTGGTTGACTTTCCCGAAATCGATCGGTGAATCGGTGCATCCACTACTGGTCCACTGACCTTTGCGACACGGACAATGCTTGCCGCACTGCTCCATGTAATTCCATGGGATCACCACTTAGTCAAATATTAATTCCAAATGTCGGCCGTCATATTATGGTGAAATTACAAGCATGGGGATCACCGACATGAACAGCAATGGAAATGACAAATTGTCACCAAAATTGCATACTTGTTGTAGGTGGATTAAGGTCGTTCACTTCCAGCCCAAGTCAACGGACTCTTCACAGGGCTTGGGCCTGCCATATTAATGAAAAAGAGATAAGGAAATGGGCTGCCGCGAAGCAGTCGATTTGAAAGCTAAATTTCTCAAAATTCCTATGCTCCCTAACTTATGCCCTACCCTGTACATAACCTATTCGCAGGCGTACCAGTACGCATCAACCAATGTCCTCCAACCAAAGATATGATATAGGTATAGGCTTGGAGGTGTCAGATTAAGTTAATAGGATTCTCGATCAGATATGCCAAAAGTTCCTTTCGATGGGTCAAGATTGGTCAAGATTGGTCTGGGACTGGACGTCTGTCCGTGGGTTAGATATATGCTTGCTATTTCAGTCCCCTCAGGGCACGATCCTTTAAGATTCAACTTTATAGCATGAAGTAATGGGAAAACCATGAACCACTATTCTGCGGTGAATTTTCGTTGGTTTTACACCTTCCACCGTCAAAAATCGGATCACACCTCGCATCTCCAACTTAGTGCATGACGTACCGCCATTTTGAAAACTTCATGTGACGCGTATGCGCGTGTAGCGGTTCCGCTCCCCTGTGTGCATGCTCTACAAGGGATCGTATCTCATCATCGCCTGACATCCGCGATATCTGCAACACGGGTGTTATAACGATATTATTGTTTTCAGTTGAATCACCCTCGTATTATTGAGGAGCGGTAAAAAATTATATGCACTGATGTTGTGACTGCTTGTTTCCACAGGAGTTTCTCATGTTGTTCATTCTTCACTTGTTGACGAATAAGATTTGTTAGCGATGGAAGTGTGTGCATTATGAAGATTTAGCGAGACTAAAATCCGTGTACCACTGCTCCATTGGTAGCACCTGCACTTGAAAATTAATTAATTCTGGTATCGGATTGTGAAACGGTCTCGCCGTTGCCCGCTGCGTAGATGGAACAGAAAGGAATAGAAGTGGTTTTCGGACGTTTGTTTATAGCTACTTCATGGATAGGCTCTCCACCGCATTACGAAGAAAATAGAAACATCACTGGATGTATCCACATCACCGATCAACACTCAGTCTAATTCAAGCGATGAGATTTGGACGCGGAGCCAAGGATGACCTTGTTAATTGCATCTCCTCTTGACACTTCATGCTTTTGTCTCTCCGTTATCCCGAAAATAAATTGCTCCGACAAAGGAAATTGCAAGGGTCTTCATGAAGTTGACACGCAAACCCTTCGTGCTCTCGTTCGTTTCCTGGCGATGGCGTGTATGCTATATTCAACTGTTCGTGTCTTGCTCGTGAGACCATCAGTCCAACAACATTCTTAATGCAACCTTCCATCAGAATGCTCACGCATCCAGAATACTGAAAGAGTATTCGGTCAAAGCTTTGCCCCAATCAGGACTTGACCATAACGAATGAATGCATCGATGGAAGTAACTTTGTAAAGTGACGGATATGTAAGGGAATATGTTATCGAGGAATGCTCTTCAGACATGACGAATTCATTATTAAAGTGAAGACATGCACATCGTTTGTTTCGAATTCCTTGCAGCCTGGATTAAGAGGAGAAAGTACGAGGCTCTGACGGATATCAGTAGGAAAGTTTCAAAAACAACGAGTTCCATTCTTTTGGCTCACGATTCCAGGTCAAGAGAACGGCATTCAGGTCATGATTAGTGCCGAAGGAGAGCCGTGATTCATTGATATCGAACAGTTTTCTACTTCTATCTAGCATCCCCTTTCAAGCGGCGAGAAACGTCGTTTCTCTGAACGGGTTTTGAGTCGCGCTTTGCGAAGTTATTGCTTCCATTTGTAAAAGTGAATGACGGCAACCGCTGAGGTTTACAAAATTAATTATCCAGCCGAAACCCTCGGACAGCCGAAATCGGGATTAGCAAGAGAGAAATGGACGTAAGTGGAATCCCGGCATGGATTGACTGAGGGCCCTTGGCGTCACGCTGGATGCAGTCCTTCACTCCTTCCCGGCTTCTTCGCGTTCGCGTTCGTTTCTTGACGATTGCGAGTATTGTTCGATTGTTCGTTCTGGCGATTGTTCTGTCTCTTGTCTTAGTCGTGAGAAGGTGTTAATCGAGCAGTATGTCTAATGCAGCCTTTCATCGAGAGAATGTCCATGCAATTTTAAAATTGTTTCAATTGCAAAATTGTAATACCTGTACCAATAATCATTTGATGATAAGAAACCAATTTCATCAATTGCCAGCCGCGTGAGCGCTTAGCAATTATTGCTCGCCAAAGTGATGCACTTGACAAGAAATTGCGTTCGCTTGTTCAGAAAGATTTTTCATTCTTTAAATTTGAAATTTTATGCAATTTGAGGCACTCTGAGCATTTTCAGACTCAACTTGGAGGTTAGGTTCGAAAAAACACAGAGCGTTAACCCAGATGGAATGGAGAAGTTTCAAAAGGTTACCTGACCCCATTAAAAAACAAACATTTTTGTAAATACAACCCAGAGGACGCTTCACCGTGTGAGACGAATTCTGTCGCAAAACCGAAGAGTGACTCTTGGAAGTACGTGATTGGGTGGGATGAATGCCGAAGTGACACTAATCGAGATTCCCGGTTTCAATCGAACCGTTCATCGAAGTTGCGTGCGTATGTTAGGCCATGCAGACTCGAGGTAATGCGTGGATAGTATTTCACTTTACTGGATTACCGAGGAGTGAGTGAAACGAAATGGCAGAAGATTCATTGTCCGAAGCCGACACGGACGGACGCTGCACAAATGAGTCATACAGGGATCCCCCATATTCATTTGGATCGTTGCGTTAACTGCCATTGTCTCTGTTCTTTGAAAAGGTTAAGACAAAGGTAAGGGAATAACTAACTTGGAAAGACGAAGAAAGTCCTCTGGAACTCCAGAGCGTTTCGGCAAGAGACACTAAAGATACAAAACAACCCAAATAAACGTAAAACTCCCAGATGGATTTGGAACCGGGTGGATGCCCCTCGAAACGAAAATCTGGATACCTGGAGGTATGTCCGCCAAGTATCTAAGAGTTAAAAGAGAATTTTCAACTTGAAACCCGAGACGCAAGCTCGGAAGGAGTTTAAAGAGATGAGACCGTATGAGGAAACACAATAAATATGACATGAGAAAATCAGAAGATATTTTCGACTGTGCAGGCAAGCGTGTCTCTTAAGAGAAGTCGTTAAATGTATAATGGATATCGTAGATTCATGACCACCAAAGAGACGTTCCTCGGGAAAGAACGGCTAAAAGTAGGCCCAAGACCAGAATGTATTAATTATTTCCGTAATCCTGCTGCCCCATCGGAATGACGGACCGATCGTCAACCCACGCCCCGCAGTCCATGTCCAACCGTGAAGATGGTAGGTGGGAAGTTGATTCACTCGAATTCGGGGGTGAATTCCGACGATGCCACCTGGATTCTCACTTCGTCCTTCATCATCTTTACCATGCAGACAGGTGGAACATTTTTTCTCCCCATCTCTTTAATTCGTGCACTCACAATGAAACTATTTCGACAAGGGTTTGGGATGTTGGAGGCCGGAAGCGTGACGAAGAAGAACGAGGTGAACATCCTGATGAAGAACGTTGTGGACTTGATCTTCGGAGGGATCACCTATTGGGCCTTCGGGTTCGGTCTCCAATATGGGTCTGATCATGGCACGAATCCCGTCTTCGGGGTCGGCAATTTCCTGTTGAATGAGGACGGACAGGATGAAATGGGCTTTGTCTACGCCAAGTTCATCTTTCAGGTCCTCTCTTCATGCTTTTATAGGCAGCTTTATCTCGTTTGTATTGCTCTTATGCGATACCGCACTATCGACTATGCGATATCGGCACGTCGGCCCTGTCTTATAATGGAGTTTGGAAAATCTAGCGAGGTCCTAGACTTAAAATGTGAAAAGGTCAAGCTTCGTAATTGCCCAATATTGCTTATACGTTATGATCAGGAAATTGAGATCACACCTTCAACAAAACCGAATGCTTCAGAACCAGATAGACTAGAGATTGAAATCGACTAATGACAATTCGGTACAGGAGAATCTCACATTAACCCATTGGTCGCGCATTTAATGATTGTTTTACTCATTAAAACATCTGCAGATGTCATTTGCGACGACGGCGACGACTATTGTGTCCGGAGCGATGGCCGAAAGGACCAAGTTCAGTGCATTCTGTCTCTACTGTTTCCTCATCATCATCACTTACAGCGTCCCTGCAGGTAAGCTTGTCATTGCACCCCTAGCACCGGAGGGTAGAGAAGTGGAGGAATGGGATGCACATGGCTATGGCCTCCATGTGGGCAGGATGGGTGTGGGGCGATCATGGATTCTTGAGGGCGATGGGGTTCGTGGATTTCGCTGGGTCGAGTGTCGTTCACCTTCTCGGTGGGGTCGCTGCACTCGTCTCTACTCTCTTGCTGAAGCCACGAATTCACAGGTTTTCAATCCCCATTTCCCTCTCTTAATCCGAACATCCCTGGAGGTAGAAAAAATATCGTTCTCCTTCCCTTCTTCTCAACAAGGTTTGATGGACTTCAAGAACTTCCCCCAAAGGAAAGTCGGACAAACTATATCGTTGGGACCTTCATTCTATGGCGAGTTCCTACTTCATTCAATTGAAGTAAATGTCCTGGTCACATTTTCAGGATGATTTGGATGTGTAAAAATGATAGGTGGGGTTGGGTTGGGTTCAACTGCGGTTCCACATTCGGAATCAGAGGGGAGAAGTGGCATTACGCGGGCCGAGCAGCCATCTCCACAGTGAATGCCTCCATCGGCGGTGGAGTCGCAGGACTCATTTACACGTAAGTACTGGAATGATGTGGAATAAGGAATCCTCGTAAGACTCTGGAAAATGAATGCCTGACGACCTTGGGTCTAATTTCTATAACAGAGTCGAATTCCTCTTACCATAATGTCTCCAAGGCCGTTAAAAAAAAATTCATCTGCTATTGTCTAGAGTATGTTCATCGATCGCTGACATTTCCTTAGGTACATTCGGAAGAAAGGGATTGTGAACTTGGAGGATGTGATCAATGCCATCTTGGGCTCGGTTGTCGCCGTCACTGCTGGCTGCGCTTTCTACGAGGTATGCCTTAGCAGACGGCTCGATTATGTCTAGTGGGAAAAACGGGACCGTCTTCTGCAGGGAAATACGCGGTATTACATAGGCAGAGGCTGAAATTATCGTATTGGGATTGAATGATTATAACAAACCTTAGAATGGGATGTGAGAAACAGAACACGAAGAGATGCTATGAAAGAAGGGTAGTATTGGAAGAAAGTACAGCAGTTCGGTTTAAAATAAAACAGTATCCGGTGTACTCAAAAAATGTTTACAATGCTCAGATATGTTATATCTTCCGTTATACACCATTTGATGCATGAATGACCAATGTACACAATGTACAGGTCCACAATTGTCTTCCCTAAAAGTAAAAGCTTATTACTTCGGAAGCATACATCTGATATGTTTGACATTTCATTTAAACAATAGCTATTTTAATATATTTTTCGCGGAAATTTTCAGCAGTCAATAAGAAAGTAGAACACAATTACACCATACAAAATGAAACTACCCGTATCGTGCAACTAAAGCCTGTAAATATACCAAACCATTCTGATATTTGCAATTCCATCTTGAGTTTCGCAATTCATTCGTGTGGTTACCATGCATCGTGAGGGAGTGTGTCCTGGATGACCTCAGTATGCTGCGGAAGACGAATATTGCCTGAATAGTTTGATGAGTTGAAGAGAGCAAATTTGTGCGGGGAAAATTAGGAAATTTATTCAGTTTGGGTACAAATGCCTCAGTTCCAGTTGAGAAGATCAGGAAGGCAATTCATAAGAAGTTTCTGGGCATGAAGAGATTCATCGGCGGACCTATGACAACCTAGATATGCTGAAAAAGGCCATTAGAGATGCCTTCGCCACAGTTGGACCGGAGGCGATTGAAATAATTATGCTGGTATTCAAAGAGAGGCCAACCAAGGCCAACCAATATTCAACCAAGGCGTTGAAAATTGTGGAATTCATATTTAACACTAATAATTAGCCGACTTTCATTTGATATGGTGTAACTTTGTTCTTGTTTCTTATGGAATGATGAAATTTCATAAAAGAAAATTCTACTGAATTGGTTTGAGTCATGTCATCGAAACAGGATGCATACTATCTGAGTAATAAGCTTTTACTTTTGGGGAGAACAATTGTGGACCACCCTTGCATATTAAAAATATACTAGAGCGAAAAACATGGATATTGTTGTATTGGTCGTGGGTTTCATGGGTTGTAATCAAATTACAAAATCGGAGAACCTATACATGAATCTAAAGTGGTAATATAACTTTTTTTAGGCGCTGGGCAGATGAAAATAAATGGCTTGCTCGTCCACGTCGCGAGGATGGACCCCAGTGATTCGGAAGGCTTTAATATCTCGGGTTCAACCATTTCACAGTGGCTTCCGTTAAGGGTGACCTGGACGAACCAAAAACCAGCATGATTTCGGTTAAGATATCCTAAACTTGCTCAGTAGCCGCTCAGTACAATCAAGACTGAGATAGTCATTCTGTTCTCAGAGTGATTATTGATAATTTGGCTATTGGGTAAGGGCAATACGAAGTTTCTGGGTGTATTAGACCCCGTCATGCTGCATCCAGGACTACCGATCGACTTGCAAACAGCCATAGCGAGTCCTTGTTAGAGAAGAAAGACAAAGAGCATCATCTCATTCTCATTACTAATTTATTATAGGCCTAATTTAATCTAATTCTGGCCCACATGAAATTCCTTACTGCATCAGACTATTTTTCTTCCTTACGAAATAACGTCGTAGCAGTTTCTCTCCGGGCTGTCGCAAGTCGAACACGACACTCAAGTTACATTACTAATATTTGGAGGATTCCCCACTCACATGGTTTCTTCTTTTACTTCTTCTTTACCAGCCGTGGGAGTCACTAACGGTGGGTTTCCTGAGCGGCCTGGCGGTTCTCCTCGTTTTCCCCCTCTACGACAAGCTTCGAATCGACGATCCCGTCGGAGCCTTCGCCGTCCACGGTAAACTAGGCCAGACGGTTAACAGTTGTCCTTCGTAACTTGTCAGTGGACAGGCATAAAGGATTTAGCCTGTGTCGGGGGTGGATGTGCTGTATCGATACAGCTTGAGGGTAAATTTGGTGTGTATTGAAAAAGGAAGAGCTAAATCAGAGCAGTACTAATCATAGAATTTCTTTAAATATTCACCATGTCTTCAATACGAAAGAATACAGGGTGGTCCACAATTGTATCCCCAAAAGGGAAAGCTTATTACTCAGGAAGTATACATCCAATTTCAATGACATATGACTCAAACGATAGACAATTCAATATATTTTTTGTGGAAAATGTCTGCATTCCACAAGAAACTAGAACAAAGTTACACCATAACAAATGAAACTACCCATATCGTGCAACTAAAACCTGTAAATATCACAATCCCTTTTGAAATTCACAATTCCATCTTGAGTCTCGCAATTCATTCTTCCTGCAGAAGACGAATATTGCCATTTGGTTTGATAATTTGAAGAGAGCAAAATTGTGCGGGGAAAATTAGGAAATTTCTTCAGTTTGGGTACAAATGCCTCAGTTCCAATTGAGATCATGTATGCAATTCATAAGAAGTTTCTGAACCTAAAACGATTCATCGGCGGACCTTTGACAACCTAGATATGCTGGAACAGGTCATTAGATATGCCTTCGCCTTAGTAGGACCAGAGATGATTGAAATTATTCTGCTGGCATTCAAAGAGAGATTGCACCAAGTCATTGAACATTATGGACGTCATATAGAACACTAAATATTTGGCGAGTTTCATTTGTAAGGATGTAACTTTGTTCTAGTTTCTTCTGGAATGCTGAAATTTCCACAAAATATTTTGAATTGCTTATAGCTTGTGTCATATGTCAATATGTCGCCGCGGGTCGTTAACCCGCTCTAAAATTTCCCTACCCGTACCATGATCCGCAGTGATATCTGCTGCCAAGTCCGAGTCTGGGAAAGAGTCAGTAGGAAATAGGCTTCAGTCCCATTGTAGATCTTGGAGCTGGGTCGAAACCTGTGGATTGTGAGCTCGCATTCAAATACGTGACTCTCGTTATACGCGGGGGTTGCGGGGAGGAAAGGGGAGAGGAAACAAGGCGCATGCGAGGAAGCTTCCTGCGGATAGGGAAAGTGATAGTCTGCATGTATAGAAATGAAAACGCGGATAACGAAAGCGCGTATAACGAGAGTGACCTGTACTGACGTATCAAGACTTCTTTTTTTGCGGTGCGGATGCGGGTGCGGTGGTCTAGTGGTTTGAATGTCGGGATCACAATCCGCTAGACGGTGGTGTTGTAGGTTCGATTCCATGCACAGCCAACCTCAGACTTGTGTTCCCTTGTCCTGTCTAATAGATGATCGTGATATGAAGTACCATCTCTTGGCAACCTTGCATAATACTTTGCCGTGGGTCGTTAACCCGATCCAAAATTTTTCTCCCCCCATATATATGGGGGGCAGGGGCACGACCCTGCAATCAGCTTGCAGTGCAGCTTGACCCTTTTCGACATGTCCATACTAGGAATGAAAAGATTAAGAAGGGAAACAGTCTCTGCCCGAACAGAGAGGAGATGAGGGCGTCCACACCTTAAGCCTCTCTCACACTTACCACAATAGCACAAATCATTAGCTGATAAAGGTTCACACCTCTGCTACTCATTAGTAGCACTTGTATTGTGTTCTATGAATGTGGAGATGCGATGCTCAGGTACCCAACATCCCACTCATTGTTGAGCAATAATAAGTTTTTCCTAGTGTGGAGGTTCGTGCCCGAAGGGTCTCACCACGTCTCCAGACTCATAATAGTGAAAGATCGGCAAAGGGAGAAGCCGATGGACTAATAATCCTCACTTGTAAAGGATATTTTGGATGTTCTGCAATCGAGCCTATGTATGCCCACCTTCACGAAGTGTAGGCTGGAAGTGAAACCTGTTCCCTGTGGAAGAGGACCTGGAAAAATGAGAGTAATAGCAAAAAGCAACAAAAAATGGAGCAGAGGAAGCAATTGCGCGAGAAGACGAGGAACCAACGCATAAGATGCCTGGGACAATTCTAAGTAATGAAAGGGAAAATGCCCGAAGCCACCCCCTCTCCGTACTTCTTTAGATGATGTAGAGACGAGACGCAACTTTCTTAACACCCTGTATATACACAATTCAAAGGTGTTCATGCCTCAAATGCCTAGTATTTTTAATTTTCCTGTACTGTGGCCTATCACCTAGTACACGCACTTAACAGGCCCATCATTGGGTGTTTCATCCGACTCGTATCATTCATGCCTGCCCTTTTCGAAATTTTCCCGTTGCAGTTTGTCTCATTTTCCAAGTTTCTCACATTTGGCAAAACCACAACATTTCAAGAAATGAACAAATTCAGGCTGTTTTTTTTTAAAATTATCTACAGCACTTTCGATGCCTTCAAGAAAATTTGCCTGAAATTTGAGTTTCTCTCTGCAAGGCTTTTATTCACCATGCAATAAATAGTTGAAGTGACAGATATACAGTCAAAGCCTGCTGAAACAAACGAAATCGCTATCACTCTTCTTGTAGGTGTTGTGAAAACAAATTAAGAATCTCAATACGTTGATTTTTAGGGATCGGTGGACTGTCTGGGACGCTGTGCGTTGGGATTTTCATGAAACGGGACACTCTCTTGAAGCTGGTTAAATATAATGGCCTCATTCACGGCGGTGGTTTTTATCTGTTGGGGATTCAGGCTCTGGGTGTCCTCAGCATTATTTTCTGGAGTGCAATCACCACCTTCATCTTCCTGAAGGTTTTTTCCCCCAATCTGTTTTGCATGCATCGTGTACGCATATGTGCACCATTCAAAGTATATCGATGAATGGGCTGGTGGATGCACAGGCGGTGAATCTGGTGATTCCGATCCGAATGAAGCCTTACGAAGAAATCCTGGGTGCGGACTTCGTGGAGCACAACATCCGACACGCAGGGATCGACTACGACGGGATGATGAAGGCATTGGAATCACGGGGACATGTCATCAAAGAGCCTTGGTGCCACTCCATCCATCCCGAACTTCAGGTACCTCCCTCTCGAACCGTCCTCATTTCATTCTCTGATTTAGGCCAGTTACGGATGGTCCTAGTTGGGTATGCGACGATATTTATTTTTGTTTTCAGTTAGTGCGACTCCGACGATTTCAGGTCATGAAATCATGAAAGTGTTCTCATTACAATTAGTATCAACATACCATTATCCTAACCCAACCTTGAGGAATTTATTCATCTACGGGTAGTGGTGTTATTACAAGTACCTCCGAGAAGTACATAAAACCTAAGTCCAAGTACTCCCTCAGTCCTAATTACTCTCCGCTCGTCAAAGACTTAAAGTACAGAATGAAGTGTCTAAAAAGACTTGGGAATAATTACCATTGAAATGTAACAGGTGTCTAGTTAACGTGGTAACGTCTACTGTCACCATTTCTGCATGGCTTCTACCGAAACCGTGCAATCCCGCTTTGCCTCAATAAAAGGCTCTTTTGTCTTTGCATCTGAGCTGCAATCCTCTGGTTTTCCTCCACACGTTGCCTTGTTGCCATTTCTACTCGAGGTCCGATGATAGAAAATCGCCCTTTTGTTTATCTGATTCCGTGTTCTGGATTAATTCGTTTCGCATTGATGAAAAGTAGTTAACTCTTATCATGAAAAGTGCAGAAATTGCAAGAAAATTGTCTCTGGCACAAATATTTTTGAAAATCGAAGTCGTCCTTCCGTTAGAGGAAATTCCTGGCTATAAAAAATTTCAAGGTTCCCTTCATTAGAAGTGAGAGTTTTCTGTTGAAAGGTGATAACTCAAAGGCATTCGGTGTCCCACTGTAGCCCTACCCATGGGATCCGTGGGACAGGCAATGCGGTATTGTGGGACATTCTCTGCTTTTTATAAATAAATATCCAAAATTAAATTTTTTTCCCTTAATGCGTTTATTTAGAATTTCATTTTGCTTTCTTGATTTTCTTGATTTTGAAGGAAGCTGCAACAATTCCAGTTTTTCTGAGTGTCTGTTATTCCTGATCTGCCAATATGTCTGCTCTGTCTCTATGTGTTATAGTTTTTTTTGCGCAAAACCTGAAAAGGAAATTTATCAATAAATTTAACAGCACACACACCAGTCCACACCATGACCAACTCTCCCACGGTAACCCGAGCAACTAATTTCGTTGGGATGATTTCATGCCAGAGAATCTCTAAAACAATCAGACAAAACACCAGTAAATGGAACATGAGTTTCAAATAACTCAAGCGCTGCCTAGGAAATGAATGGTGCAAATTAAGAAACATTTTTAATCCTTACAATTTCTTTTATATTGCAAAGTATTTGGTAAAGAGATATGACATTTGAATATCACTGATTATTTTCACACTCGATTCACGATCGCCACTAAATCTCGTACAGATGTGAGGGGTGATAGGATGGCTCTTGCAGTAGACTTACATACCTCTCCATCTAGGTTGAGGCAACAAAAAGTTCAGCGTCCCAGTCTCCGCTACAATGCACCTCCCGCATGTAAGAAAAAGTGCTTTTGCAGGCATTCTGGATTTCACGGTCTTCAATTTGGCATTTCACCATAGCCAAAATTCTCTCTTGCTTCCATCACCCGGCAACTTGGACCCTCGAACCGGTTCCCAGAAAATGGCAATTATATTTGGATCTAGAATCTAAAGGATCTCGAGGAAGTCGTATTACCCGTGTTTTGATCTAAATTCGGCTTGAGGTTTTAATCAGTCGTTCCCATGTGGTTCTAGCGCCAAGCGGCAATGAGGGAATGGTTCATGAACCTTAAGACGACAGGGCGGATCTCCTCTGCGACCGGGGAAGTGAAACCCTCCGGCGGGAGCAATAGAGAGGAATGGAAGGATGAGATGGGAAAATTTTTCAACGTGGAATGGAGCGCCCTTCGCAGCACTTCCTAAAATGATGAGAAGGGACACGGAGTCAAGGATAATCCAGAAGTCAGCTAATCCTCCAGTCCCTTGGTGTTTCTCACCCCCCCTCCTCACCCTAAATGTGAAAATGCACTGAAGAACTGCAACATGCCCCGCGAGCTGGTCAGACCTTCACTGTCACAGCATCGGGAAGATCCCATTGCAGCCGATGCGACAACGCGACAGGCAAAGCTAAATCGGTTGTTTCCAAGAAGACAAGAAACGGCGGGACAGGCACAAGTCATCATCGTCGCTGGAGGCGTCTTACGTCACTCAAACGATGTTCGTGTATTTCCACATTTGCAACTTTGCGCAGAATATTGTCATTCGGAAAATTTTCCCTATTTGGGTCATACCTTGCAATGTGATACATGCACGTAACAATTGCAATATCACCAAAATGAATGGAATAAATTATTTCTGTCGAGTAATGCTTGTATATTCCACAGATCTCTGACTCGCTACAGTGTTTGTGCCGGACGCTTTCCCGACCCTTTCTTCGACTTACGGTAAAATTCGATGAAACTGGGTAGAAACTCAAAAAGTAGGCAATCTTAATCATGCAACTGCCCATGTTGATGAATAGTTTCCCCCCACAAAATAAGTACGATGGTTCGGATTATCCACGTTTTCCTTTAATCCGGCAATCGACTCCATTTGGATGGATGATCTGTGACTTGGATCTCCGAGTTCAATTTTATGTTCGCATTTCGCTGAAAAAATTCTGCAAAAAAAGCTGATGAAATGAGATGAGTTGATTAAGTGCTCATAAAACATCGTTACAGCAGTAACAACGAAAATCTTGAATGAACACAGAAAATTCCGGTTTTCATTGTCACTTAACATGCCGTCGAGGTTCTTGTTTCTATATCGAAGTTTCTAAGAAATATTTTCGCAACTCCAGTTAAATTTCTTCCCTCCACTCCGCATCATAATCGCTTGTCGCAGGCATTGTCCATGGTCCCGATCCAGCAGGACGGCGACAATGTTTCGGCACGGATCCTCGGCGTCCTCCGAAAATGAGAAAAATCGGTTCGCTGGCGACGACGTGGAGGCTACGAAGTCTCGCCGGCTATGGAGGACGACTTTCGTAGGCAAAGGTTGACCTTGTCGAAATCGATGGGTCGATCGATACATTCACAACTGCTCCACTGTCCTGTGCGACACGAGCAGTTCGGCAGGCACTGTTCCATGTGATTCCATGGGATCGAAGTAGGAACTAAACGCTCTTTAGAAAGTATGAAGAATTCGTCTTCTCTCCGTGATTTCAAAGTAATATTCCTGATAGGAACCGTAGGACTATGTTGCCATGTACACGTTTCTCACGAGTGGAAGAGGACTGGTAGGCGAGAGCGAAAACGCAAATGGTGATTTCGCCGCGCTGAATCCCTACAGAATGTATAAATCGAGATAGTGTGAGATTAGCAGGCGTCGATTCAACATGGTTTGGAGGCAACATAACATAGAGTTGAAATGACATGACATGACATGAAGGTGAAATGACATGATATGACATGGAGGTGAAATGACATGATATGACATGGAGGTGAAATGACATGAAGGTGAAATGACATGATATGACATGGAGGTGAAATGACATGACATGCCACGTAGGCAACATGAATGCCTCGAAATTGAAAGACGAGGGCGATAGCAAAGGTGGCGATCGGAGAACGAGCAGTGATTTTACTGTTTGCGGGATATGATCTGAAGAGTCTGGATAGAATGTTAAGACTACAAAGTAGTTTTGAACCACATCATATTTGATATTTATGAGTTTGTTTGCCGAGGGGGAAACAAACTCGCTAAGGACCCTCCTTCGGTGCTCTATGATCAAAGGAAATTACTAAAGCATTCAAAGCATCCTTTTTCGAAGCTCACCTTTACGAGAATGATGCGATCAACCCTTACGAAAATGCCTTATAGGAACATATAGGAATCCTATAGGTTCCTATAGGCCCCATAGGGTTCAGTTTGGGACCTTACCCTATTGAACCTATAGGGTTCCGTTTGAAGTTCTCCTCCAGGCCATTAGATGGAGGTAAGGGGTTCTCGCATTTCTCAAAGGCCATAAAAGTGCCCTCCCATTACCCAAGGAATCATCTCTCATAAGAGTGTTTTGTTCGTCCCCAAATGTCTCGACTTGCCTCATTGTAGCAATCAATAAACTTCGACACTTCCTTACTTGTTATCCCCGTCTTCCAGATAGAATCATGGAGTCCAGGCAAGGAATATGCCTTTATTCTCTTTGAAAATCACGTACGAGAATGAATGGACTTCATCGGAAAGGAGTTTCAATAAAGAGACGAGCTCGCAGGTTCTATCTTCTGTTTCCCTAGTTTAAAAGAAGAATAATATTTCTCTCTACCGAATGAAGTGGACGCGCAATCCAGCGACATATCTACGCCGGGGCAGTACCGGTATCAGTAATGCAAGTGCCCTTACCAGGGGAAAACCCGTAATCGGTAATTCATTTGCACCAAAATGCTGCGCCAATATCGACCCCGGTCGCCTTTTCCGTCGTTTCGGTTTCGAAACACAAAAAATCCTCCCCGAATCCTATAGGTCAGGAGTCCTATAAGACCCTATACCCAGGTAACACATCCATGTGGAAACAACATTGAAACAATGTTTCATGTCAACATTTATAATGTTGAAACAACATTCAGGTACCATATTGATTCGATGTGAAGATTGACTCTTTCGCGGCGGGGGTTTTATCTGCTGGGGATACAGACTCTGGATGTCCTCTGCCTCTGCATTCCCTTCTGGACCGCAGTCATCAACTTCCTCTTCCTGAAGGTCTTATTCTATATCTCATTGCCCTTGCAGCGTAGATGCATTCATAAAAAAATAGCGAAATGATGAGTGGGGCTGGTTAACGCACAAATGATGGATTTGGTGATTCCGATCCGGATGAAGCCGCACGAAGAAATTCTGGGTGCAGATTTCGTGAAGCACAACATCCGACACGTGGGGATCGACCACGACGGGATTATGAAAGCGTTGGAATCACGGGGACATGTCATTCAAGTGCCTTGGTGTCACTCTCTCCTATCAGAACTTCAGGTGTTTCTCTCTGACTTTCGTTTCTCCTTTCAGTCTCCCGTTTGGCCAGATGATCAAATTCTTACATTTGACTGCACCCGTCCGCAATGATACTCTTGTGGGCTCATTTAAGGGCGTTAGAGAAAATGTCCTGTAATTACTTATTCCTGTAAATTATTATTATCAAAATAAGGTGGTCCAAAACTCTCTCTAATGAATTTGTTCTTATATTCACAGTGGCTTTGTATGAAGTTCCTCATGAAGTCGTTTAACCTATACCCTCATTCGGAACTTTGAATAAAAGAGCTTTGAAAAAAGAGCTCATAAGGAATTACATAAATGTAATTACCACGAAAATGTCTCAGGTTTCCAATTAAAATATTGCCACTCTATGTCACTCTCATGACATTGTTTTAGGTGAAACATTTTCGCAATTTCTTCCACTTCTTCCGTAGTTGGCTTCTGATGCAACTACATCCACGCTACGATATTTTGTCATTACTGCATACCGAACATTGCTGCCACTTAACTTCAGCCGAGATGCTATCCTGCAAATGAAAGAAAAATGTCAATATTTTAACTGGATGCCCTGTTCACATGTGAGCCACGATATTCATGGCAAATCCTAAGGACATCCATCCCATGCTCATCGTACATCCCAAAAGCGTTCAGCATCAACCCTGAGGACATCGGGATGTCCTGTACTAAGGTTTTTAGCCATGTTTGGCGAAAGGTTTTAAACAGTCATGCTCGTGATTCTAGCGTGAGTGAGGCACTGAAGGAATAGTTTAAAGAACTAAAGGCGACTGGGAGGACCTCCTCCGCGGAGATTGCAAGGGTCTCCATTAAGTCTACACGTGTGTCGTCTTTCGTGCTCTCGTTCGTTTCCCGGCGATTGCGTGCATGCTATTTTCAACTGTTCTTGTCATTGTTCGTCCAACAACATTCCTAATGCAGCCTTCCATCAGAATGCTCACGCATCCAGAATACAGAAGGAGTCTATATTCTGCCAAAGCTTTTGCCAACCAGGACCTGACCATAACGAATCCATCGATTCGTGGAATGAATGAACACGTTGTGTACTGGCGGATATATAAGGCGAATATAGTTTTCAAGAAATGCTCATCAGACACGACGAATTCATTATGAAAGTGAACACACGTATATCTCTTGTTTCGAATTCCTTGCAGCCTAGGTTAGGAGAAGAAACTATAGGCTCTCACGGATATCAGTAGGCGAGCTGCAAAAGCATAAAATTCCATTCTTTTGGCACGCGATTTTCCATCAAGAGAACGGCATTTAAATCTTGATTATAACGGAAGAAGAGCTGCGATTCATTTATGTAGAAAATTGTCTACTTCTGCCTGGCATACCCTTTTAAGTGGAGAGAAGCATCGTTTCTTTGAACATGTTTTGAATTCGACTTGGCGAGATTATTGCTTTCATTTGCTAATGTGATTCTCGGCAACTCTAATATATATTTATCTCATTCAGTTCAAATCCTCGGACAGTCGAAAGCCTAGTCAATCGGGATTAGGTAGAGAGAACTGGACGTAAGTGTAATCCCAGGATGGATTGACTGAGGGCCCTTGGCGTCACGCTGGATGCAGTCCTTCACTCCACACTTTCTCGCTTTAACACGTTCGCGCTCGTTTCAAGACAATTTCGAGAATGTCTGTTCTGCCTCTTCTCTCGGTCGTCATAAAATAGTATTTATAATGCAGCGAAAGAATGCTCATGCAGTTGTAAAATTGATTAATTTTCAAGATTTTTGTCACTGGACTTGAGAAACCAACTAACATTTTCAACTTGAAACCACAGAAAAAAGCTTGGAAGAATTTCTAGGCGATGAGAACGTAAGATGATGATAAGGAATAACGATAAATGCGGAAAGAGAAAATCAGAAGATACTTTCGAACGTACAGTCATGCGCGCCTCTTTATAGAAGTCGATAAATGTATAATGGATATCGTAGATTCATGACCACCAAAGAGACGTTCTTCGGGAAAGAACGGCTAAAAGTAGGCCCAAGACCAGAATGTATTAATTATTTCCGTAATCCTGCTGACCCTTCGGAATGACGGACCGATCGTCAGCCCACGCCCCACAGTTCTAGTCCAACCGTGAAGATGGTAGGTGGAAAGTTGATTCACTCGAATTCGGGGGTGAATTCCGACGATGCCACCTGGATTCTCACTTCGTCTTTCATCATCTTCACCATGCAGACAGGTGGATCTTTATTTTTTATTCTCCATGCATTTTTTCTTCCATAAAGAAAGGTATTTTCTAGGTTTTGGGATGTTGGAGGCCGGAAGCGTGACGAAGAAGAACGAGGTGAACATCCTGATGAAGAACGTTGTGGACTTGATCTTCGGAGGGATCACCTATTGGGCCTTCGGGTTCGGTCTCCAATATGGGTCTGATCATGGGACGAATCCCGTCTTCGGGGTCGGCAATTTCCTGTTGAATGAGGACGGACAGGATGAAATGGGCTTCGTTTACGCCAAGTTCATCTTTCAGGTCCTCTTCTCATGTTTTCATACGCAGCTTTAAGTCATTTTTATTGCTGTTATACGATATCGCATTGACAAGTTGACCCTATCTCGTAATGCAGTCTGAAAAATCAATCGAGGTCCTATGTTGAAATATTAAATCGTTGGTAATTGTCTAATATGGTTGTATGTCATGATCACAAACGTGAATGATATATGAACGATTGCACTTCTCAATCGCAATCTCCACCCATTTTTCTATAGAGGAAAAATGTACGCCACAAAGAATCTGGCAGTCATTCAAGGAAATTTATCCTGCATCGCTCAAAATAATATCATTATTATTATATGACTATGGTCGCGCCATCGGCGCTTCATTACCTTGCATAGTGATTTATTCATTTATTTTTTGCGAAATTGGAAAAACGTATTTAAAGTACGCCCCCATTGGAAAACATGACATTTGGGGACGAAATATTGATTTTTATCATTACTTCTATGATTCTATGCGTGCCCATCTTTAAATCTTTTCTTTTGTCCCTTTCTGTAAGTTTGGAGAAAACATTTTAAAATACTTCCCTTCAATAATCTACTTATGTACTAACTTAAAATACTTGAAAATATCCCCCAGGGCATGGATCTTGAAGTTTGCACTTTTCATGAACTCATCGTCTTGGTAGGCACGTCTATGCCAGGTTTCAGCTTTCCATGTCTCTCCGTTTTACTCAAGCAAAAATAATGTTATGGAGGAGGAATGAGTAACGGGATATGGAAGGGAAAAAAGTCAAAAGACTGCCAAGGAATGGCCGGGGAATTGAACCTGGAGCTCCTGATTGCCAGTTAGATATGCTACTACTACAGCACCGAAACCAGGATAACAAGTTGATTCTCTGAATGCCATCCTCATCGGTCACAAAATATATTTAAGAAAAACGTTTCCCCCCAAATTTGAACCCCCAGGGAATTTAGCTCCAAAGTCGGATTTTTTCTGAACTCTGCATCCCAAAAGGTACATATGTACCAAGTTTCAGATTTCTAACCTTTCTAGAACATGGTTAGAATTAGCGTCAGTCAGTCAGTCACGATCATCTATATATATTAGATTTACGTCAAACAAAATTTTCATGTGGAATTATTTCCATGCGAAAAATGCAGTTGTCTAGGAAATATTTTTCTCGCACCAGCGAAAAATGAAACCTTTTTTCTCTTTGTATATTTTCTGCCCGAGGAGAGAGTTGTTTTACCCAATAGGAATATCACGGATGTATTTGCTTATATTGCGATACTTACAATCGAGGGGAAGCTGGCTGGGTTTCTTTTGAGTTAAAAACTTTAAGGGGTTGAGTTGCATTGTTCCAAGGGATATAACATTCGGTTCCACTGGATAGTTCAAGCATGACCAAGACACAAACTATGATGGAAAATCAATTTTAACTGAGGTTGGACAATACGTGTATGAGTAGCACTACAGTTTAGAACTAATTTTTTCTTCACATCTTCAACCAGGGAGAATGCTCCCGTACCAGATGCATTGAAGATAGACATCAACATAATATATTTTGGTACTCCAGAGTCTCACATCAACCCATTGGCCGCGCATTTAATTATTGTTTCTCTCATTAAAACATTTGCAGATGTCATTTGCGACGACGGCGACGACTATTGTGTCCGGAGCGATGGCCGAAAGGACCAAGTTCAGTGCATTCTGTCTCTACTGTTTCCTTATCATCATCACCTACAGCGTCCCTGCAGGTAAGCTCTCATTGCACCCCTAGCACCGGAGGGTAGAGAAATGGAGGAATGGGATGCACGTGGCTAGGGCCTCCATTCTGGCAGGATGGGTGTGGGGCGATCATGGATTCTTGAGGGCGATGGGGTTCGTGGATTTCGCTTGGTCGAGTGTCGTTCACCTTCTCGGTGGGGTCGCTGCACTCGTCTCTACTCTCTTGCTCAAGCCGCGAATTCATAGGTTTTCCATCCCCCTTTCCCTCTCTAAATCCGAACATCCCTGGAGGTAGAAAAAATATCGTTCTCCTTCCCTTCTTCTCAACAAGGTTTGATGGGCTTCAAGAACTTCACCCAAAGGAAAGTCGCACAAACTATATCGTCGGGGCCTTCACTCTATGGCAAGTTCCTACTTCATTCCATTGGAGTATTTGTCCTTATCGCATTTTCTGGATGATTTAGATATGTAAAAATGACAGGTGGGGTTGGGTTGGGTTCAACTGCGGTTCCACATTCGGAATCAGAGGGGAGAAGTGGCATTACGCGGGCCGAGCAGCCATCTCCACAGTGAATGCCTCCATCGGCGGTGGAATCGCAGGACTCATTTACACGTAAGTACTGGAATGATGAGGAATAAAGAAATCTCGTAAGACTCTGGAAAATGAATGCCTGACGACCTTGGGTCTAATTTAGATAACAGAGTCCAATTCCTGCAAACCTAATGTCTCTAAGGTAATTTTAAAAGAAACGGCTTTATCTGCGATAGTCTAGAGTATGTTCATCGATCGCTGACATTTCCCTAGGTACATTCGGAAGAAAGGGATTGTGGACTTGGAGGATGTGATCAATGCCATCTTAGGCTCCGTTGTCGCCGTCACTGCTGGCTGCGCTTTCTACGAGGTATGCATTAGTAGATATTTCGATTCTAAGGTACAGACAGAGGAGGAAAAATTCGGAATTCGATAGAATGTAAGAGAGCAGTACAGGAAAAGCAACAGGATGAGAAGGAATGTAAGAAAAGTAAAATTGAATTAAAGTAGTTCACTTTGAAAGAAAAAAAGAATACGGTTTTTTCAAAAAAGTACATTTACCATGCTACGTAATGTTTCATCTTTCCTTGCATAACATATGATTCATGTATTGTTCATCCGTTCGAATCGTGGGTCGGGAAAGATTAGCAAAGGAAGAAATTATGGTGTCAAGCAGCTCTGGGATAATAGGGAATGTATGATTAACAAGGGGAGAGGGAGAGTAAAGAAGGAAACCAGTGGCGAAGCTTCCTTTCCTGGACTTATGGTTTCATTCAACATTAATTCTTCTTAATCTGGCTCCTATGAAATTCCTAACTGTATCCAACTGTTATATATTGCTAGTTCACGTTAAGGCAGATTCATTCCGCGTAGCCACAGTTCAACGCGAAACTTTTTATTGATATTTAGAGGGTTCCCCACTTGATAGGTTTTTTCTTTTCCTTTTTCTTTCCCAGCCTTGGGAGTCGCTAACGGTGGGTTTCCTGAGTGGCATGGCGGTTGTCCTATTTTTCCCCCTCTACGACGTGCTTCGAATCGACGATCCTGTCGGATCCTTCGCCGTCCACGGTAAACTGTACCAGACTTTTAGAGTTTTCCTTTATACCTCGTCAGCGGACAGGCATAATAGATTTTTGCTTGCGCAGGTAGTGGAAGAGCTGGTTCGATACTGCTTGAGGTCAAATTAGTATGCCCAGTTTCAGCCCTTAAACCAACTTCAAAGATTTGTCTATATTTCTAGAGGCCGTCCTTTGGCAAGCCTAAAAATGTATTTTTTTTTTCAAATCTGAGCAATTTTAAAAAAGTTCAGCTAAGTTAAGGACAGGTTATGTTAGCCCATTTTTGGCCTTAAACCGAATTTGATTAATATTTATGTCATCGGTTTCACATGTGAACACGAATTGTACATTTTCTATCCAAATGTAAAGCGTTTCAAAAGTTAAGTTAGGAATTATTTTCCTGTTTTCAAATGGGACCTCCGATAATAAATGCCTTCCTCTTAGTTAACAACTTCGAACATAATTTTGGAAGTAATCGGTGAACTTTAGCTGGGAATTAGAAAATCTAACAAAAAACTTTGAATGTATGATTCATTAGATAAAATTTAATGGTTCGTCGATACATTGTGAAATTTCACAGAACACAATTCAATTGTATTTTAATTGATTTATTCTTGGTAGTCTGCATACCCTTCCCTCAAAACTGTTGAAAGTAACTACTCCAGAATGGAGTAAAAGTGGTACTTTATTACTTTGCAAAGAACACCGTTTCGTGTGATATATGATTCATTGAATTCGGTTTAAGGGCCAAAATAACATTATGTTGGGCATTCTCCTTTGGTGCGTATATTAAAAAGGGAAAAGCAAAATCAGAGCAGCACTGATTTTAGGATATATTAACAGACTTCTTTTTGCCAAATATAGAGCCATAGAAGTAAACGAATACGCTGTTTACTCTTCTCGTTAGAGCTACAGGAAATCAGAGATCTCAATACATTGTTTTTTTTTAGGAATCGGTGGACTGTCTGGGACGTTGTGCGTCGGGATTTTCATAAAACGGGACACTCTCTTGAAGTTGGTTAAATACAATGGACTCATTCACGGCGGGGGGTTTTATCTGCTCGGGATTCAGGCTCTGGGTGTCCTCAGCATTACTGTCTGGAGCGCAGTCACCACCTTCATCTTCCTGAAGGTCCTTCTTCTCATTCTGATTTGCATGCATTATGTAGGCGTATTTGTACAATTCAGAGCATTTTGATGAATGGGCTGTTGGATGCACAGGCGGTGAATCTGGTGATTCCGATCCGGATGAAGCCTTACGAAGAAATTCTGGGTGCGGACTTCGTGGAGCACAACATCCGACACGTGGGGATCGACTACGACGGGATCATGAAGGCATTGGAATCACGGGGACATGTCATCAAAGAGCCTTGGTGCCACTCCATCCATCCCGAACTTCAGGTACTTCCCTCAAGAACCGTCCTCGTTCCAGTCTCTGATTTCGGCCAGATGATCCCGAATTAAAATTTGATGATATCCCAGAATTTCCTTTTCATTTTGCTCATCCACAATGATTTCCAGGAATGAAATCATAAAAGTGTCCTCATCACTGTTAGTGTCAGCCCTAGAGTGATCCTAACCCAATCTTGATGAATACTCTCCTGCGCATCGCCCCAAGTAACACAACATATTCCAAGAACGTTTAGGAAATGCTGATGAGCAATGCTGCATCTATGTGTAAATGTCCAAAACGTCAACGTTGCTGAAATGTTGCGAAGGAACATTGCATTGACGTTTCAAATCGTTACTTATTCATTACATACACGTTGCAGAAACGTTTCAGGATTTATGTTGCTGCAATGTTGATTAAAGACTATGTTTCATTGGCACCTAATCAGGGCCTATATTGGCATTACGGAAAAGCATAGGCTTCACTGGTCCTGAAGTGGACCGATATTCGACCAATATTGAAATATTTATTTCATCATTCCGTACAATATACTTTACCTCTACTCAGACATTCCCATCAACAGGATGAAGCCTGTACTGGTATAAGCCCTACCCATGCATTATACAGTATTTGTATCATGTACAGTTAGGAGACATAGGACAATTTTCGAGGTGATCTTCCCTTGTAATGTGCCTAATATGGCACATTACAAGAAAAGGTCCGACCGCCGTGTTCTTTAGAGTGTCCATGAAATCAGTTCGTCTTTTCCTCGTCTAGTTCTCAGGATGGGAATGTGAACGGTTGAGGTCACAGATTCTCTGCCATCGTTTTTATTATAATGCACTATGTAGTGGACGAGTTCTTAGAAAGGGTTATTTTTGGGAATAAGAGCTTCTTTATCTTGACCCCATGGATCTGTCTCGAATATGAGGATAACAAGTGATGATGTGTCCGTGTTCATTGATTCCTATAATGAGAGAATGCGAGACATTTGGCAAGGTATTAAACATTCCCGTGCGGGGCGACTCCAGGGAAAGGAAGAAGGGCACTTTTGTGCAATGTGAGAAAAGCGAGACCTACGTCTCCATCTCGTAGCAAGGAGGACGACTTTACAATTCCTTAAAACTTCTAAGTCATTGTTTTATCAGCATGTTGTCACCACGTTGTCGATGTCAAGAGTGTGAACATTCTCTCAATGTTGATAGCAAATGTTGCAATGACATTCATAGTAGTGTCGTAGCAGCATTCCAAGTGAAACCATTGAAGCATTTATTTATTAATTTATAGTAATCCTATTGAGATCTTTTATGATCCTATAGGATTCGTATGGGGTCCTATAAGATTCGTATAGAATCTTATAAGAATCCTATGAGAATTTTATGTTTGAAAGATCTCATAGGATCCTAAAGGATTTTTCCGTGGGGGTTATTCCCTCAATAATAAGTCATTGTCCATGCATCCATGCATCCATGCAGAGATACTCCGATTTCCTTCAACCCATTGTTTCGTTGCCATTCCTTAAGGTCTTTGGTTACTTGTTTAAGAGAGGAAATCCCTATCTGATTAATTTTTCTCCATGTTCTGGAATAACTTGTTTAGCATTGATGAACAATGGATATTCAATGCATATTCAGGAAAGGTGTAGCCGTGGTTAAAGAGGGTCACCGAAGCGAAGCCTACACATGCTCTATTAAAATGGGGGAAAGTCGCGGTTCTTCACTTGAATTACCAGTCTGATTCATATTCGCGGATAAACCAATCAGTTATGTGTGTGGATTTTCATTCCAATTGTGCTTTCCTGTCGACTTCGTAGTCGTTAAGATATGAGGTATGGAAATGCATGATCAAGATTATTAATATTAATTATGAAACAAAGCAACGCTTTCATAGCGAACCTTCATATCTAATCCTAAATTTCTGCATTAGCTATTATTGCTCGGCAGTACATGCATAATTGCCTTAATTCTCAAGTTCTCTGCAAATCTGGCCTATAGCGAGAGTAAAATTGCGAGCATTCTGGATTTCGTTGTCTTCAATTTGATACTTCGCGAGTGCCAAAGTTGTCTCTGTCTTGCTCCCATTGCCCAACAACTTCCACTCTCAAAGCAGTTTGCAGCAAATGGCAATTACGTTTGAATCCAGACTCAAAAGGATTCAGAGTCCTCGTACCTTTGTATGTACGTTTCGATCTAAATCCGATTTTAGGTTTTTGATCAGTCATTCCCATGTGATTCCAGCATCAGGCGGAAATGAAGAAATGGTTCGTGAACCTGAAGACGACAGGGCGGATCTCCTCCGCGACGGGGGAGGTGAAACCCTCCGGCGGGAGCAATAGAGAGGAATGGAAGGATGAGATGGGGAAATTCTACGACGCGGAATGGAGTGTCCTTCGCAGTCCTGTAGCCTCTCCAAGGAAATAGATGTTCTTCTGCCCCTACCTACCGGTATATCCCTGTCGTTACTACTTCCTAAGATGATGAGAAAAGACACGGAGTCAGGGATGATCCAGAAGTCGGTTAATCCTCTAGTCACTTGGTGTTTTCCCCCTTCTTCGCTCTAAATACGAAAATACACTGAAGAACTAGAGCATCCCCCCCGCGGGCTGGTCAGACCTTCAATGTCAGAGCATCGGGAAGATCCCATTGCAGCCGATGCGTCAACGCGACAGGCAAAGCTAAAGTGGTTGGTTCTAAGAAGACCCAAAATGGCGGGACAGGACCGGTCACCATCGTCGTTCGAAGCGTCGCACGTCACTCAAACGATGTTCGTGCATTTCCACATTTGCAATATTGCGCAGAATATTGTTATTCGAGAAATTGTCCCTATTTAGGTCATATCATTCCTCGCAATGCGATGCATGTACGTGTCAAGGGCGATATCTCCAAAGTAAATGGAATAAACTATTTCTATTGAGAAATGATTGTATATTCTACAGAACTGACTCTCTCGTCCCCTACAGTAATGGAGCCAAATCTTTTCCAGAGCCTTCCTTGAACTTGCGGAAAAATTCTATAAGATTGAATGAAAACTGAAACGTAGGTCATCTGAGCTTTCACCTGCTTATGTTGAGGAATTTCCACCTGCAATATACCTACGATGGATTGGATTATCCAAGTTTTCCTTTAATCCGGCGATCGAATCCCCTTCCATTTTCATGGATGATAAGTTACTTAGATCTCGAAGATTAATGAATTATCTGCGATCGTACTTAGCGAGATCACCAAGACGGGTGTATGAGAATACCATTAGTTATTCGATTTCGCTTTCCTCAAATTTTTCCTGTCGGCTTTTCTTCGCCTGGTGCCTCGATGAAGGAGCTGAGTTCAGTCGCTTTGGCGCAAGACTCTAGGACGGTCCTGAAAGGTGTTTAAGCATTAGGGCTGGCTATGGAATCAACTCTCAGGAAGAAAGGAAACAGTGTTTGTAAACGCGTTCCTTTTCCTCACAATTACTCGACTGATTCATTCCTTTTCACCTCGCGTGACTTTCGCAGTTGAGCGTCCAGAATTGTCGATAACAGCGATAGTAATAACGACTGTCACGGGCATAGCCTTAGGACCTTCCCCAGTGTATCGACAGACGCCGACTGCTTCTTCGGCGTCTTCCGAAATGGCCCCCAAAACGTCGGAGAAATATCGGTTCGCTGGCGGCACAGTCGGCGGGAGCTACGAAGTCCCGCCAATCAAGGACGACCTTCGTAGGCAAAGCTTGACCAAGTCGAAATCGACGGGTTGATCGATGCAGTCACAACTGCTCCCCCGTCCAGTGCGACATGAGCAATTTCTGTTTCTCCTGCTGCAATGCTCCTGAAATACCGACTTCATGTGATCGAAATGAAACGTCCTTCAAGTACGAAGAATTTTGTCTTTTCTCTATGATTTGTAAACAATATCCCTGGTAGGAACCGTATTGATGTTACATGTGTCAAACCCGTAGAAAGCGCTAGAAAGGTCGCTGATTTAAAGCCAAAGTTGCCTCGTTCTGCAACGCATCCTGAACGTTTTCGGGATCCGAGGATCGACAAAGGTGATCTCCTGGTCGGAATATCATTTGGATTAACTTTCCTATCCTCTATCTCCATAAATTTGTCTCGGAAGCCAACTAGTCAGATTTTAAAACTTGAAGCACGCAGTATTTCCATTCCATCGCGGGAAAGAGTCGGAAAGCGAAATCTCTCAAAGCTCCAAATTCTTAGGGGAATGCGAGAAGATACGAGCATGGAAATCATCGAAACAATGAAAGAGATGAAAATAATATTTACCTTAGTACTGAGGGGTACGTGAGCCCATTTTCGAGGGAATCTATAACTGAATCATGGGTTTTGTACATTAGTGAAGACATCAGAGAGACATTCCCTGGAAATAAGAGCTAAAACTAGAACCATGCCAAATTTATTAATTGTCTTCGTGACGGGCTGAACGATCGAAACCCGCTGCCCCCGTCCAACCTTGAAGATTAGAAGTGAAAAGTTGATTCAATCCTATTTCGCCGTGGATTCCGAAGGTGCCACCTGGATACTCACTTTGTCCTTTATTTTCACAATACAAACATTTGGACAATTCTTGGTTCCTGCTTCATGCTGGTACCGTACATGATTAAATGTATTCTGCAAGGCGTTGGGATGCTGGAGGCCGGAATTGTGACAAAGAAGAAAGAGGTGAACATCCTGATGAAGGATGTCGCGAACTTGATCTTCGGAGGGATCACCTACTGGCCCTTTGGGTTCGGTCTCCAGTCCGAATCTGGGTCTGGAACGAATCCCGTCTTCGTGGGTTTCCTCTCGGATGGAGATGGACGTGGAGATATGGGTTTCGTCTTTGCCAAGTTCATTTTTCGGGACCTTCTCCCCTACATTCACAAGTAGCACTTCTACAAGAGACTCCATTGGTTCCATGCACAAATTAGAGACAAACTCTAGATGTTGACAGCTTTTTCCACAATACCATTGGTGAATGATGAATTGATGAATGAATTCCCACCCTACTCTTTATTATAGCTTTTCGTTCTGCGGTTTTTCACAAATCTTTTTTTTTTCGTTAGACGTCAGCTCCTGTGGGCGTTCAATATTGAAACAATTTCCACCTATAAGCTGAAATTGTTCCATTACTCGCTACAGAAACTTTAAAGTAAAAGTCTCGTTTATTAGGCATACTGAAGTACACCAGATATATTGAACTACGGTGTCAAAGCGAAGAAAACGAGTGGTTTCGAGAAAAGGAGTGATGACCAATTGCAGTAATAAGCACTGAAGGTACACGATTATCCTTTCGCCATATAGCTTTCGATCAAAGCTGAAGTTACAATCGTCAGTTGACGGTTGTTGATTCATTAAATACTGAATAATTGCATCGCGAAAACTGACCTTTCATTTTATTATATTCTCGGAAACACTGGCAGGTGTCATTTGCAACGACGATCGCGTCTGGAGCAATGCTGAAAGGACCAAGTTCAACGCCTAATGACTATTCTTTCCTCGTCGTCATCACCTACAGCGTCCCTGCTGGTAATTCTGGGATTGTGCACTCAGCACGAGGGGGTAGAAGCGCAGGAATGGGATGCACGTGGCTAGGGCCTCCTTTCGGGCAGATTGGGTGTGGAGCAATCATGGATTTTTAAAGCTCATGGGCTTCGCGGATTTCGTTGGGTCGAGTGCCGTTGATCTTCTAGGTGAGTTCGCCATTCCCGTCTCTGCAATGCTGCACAATGCGCGAATCCAGAGGTTTCATTCTCCCCATTTCTCTGAATCCCTGAAAATGATCAACTTTAAAAGGTTCAAATTTCCGCCTTCTTAATAAGGTTCGATGGTCTCCACGAGCTACCCTGCGATGAAAAACTGGACTGACTACCCAAGTAACATATGGACGTTCGAGAGGACGCTCAACCAGTGTTCAATGAGATTCTTGGACGTTCAACATTTAGAGATGAGTAGCTTTTGAACGCTCACAAAAAGTACTTTTTGATCACTAATATATTACAGGGTTGTGCAAAAGTTTCCGTAAACTTCGATTAGCGCTTCGATTCTCTTTAGGCGTCATAGATCCAAAGGAAAAAATTGAAATAAAAACTGAAATTTACCATGATGAAAACATTTCGCATCAAGAATGTCCGTATAATTCAACAAAAAAAATACACGTCAGAATCGCCAAAAATCCGTTGATTAGTGAAAAAATTAGATTTTAAAAGTGTACGGGAACTTTTGCACGACCCTGTATGTTTTCCAAGGACGTTCGTTGAAGGTCAAAGAGGTATTTTCCTTGGTCATATCTGTTTGAAAGAAGCTAGAACCAAAGATACACACAACTGACGCCAGATGACGTCAAAGAAGCCGCTATAACTAGTCAATGACTGCAACAGCTGGAATTATTCCCCAATAATTTTCCCGTCGTACCTGAAATTTTCCCACAGACACCACAGAGGAAGACATTCATTCTTCAACAAGTCGGTCTAACAAGGTCTAACAACAAGACCCCGTCCAAGGGGTCTCCAGAAAACCTTGGCTTGGAGAATGGAGAAAGGACGGTTCGGTTTCCAGGGTGACTTCTGGGAAAAAAGCTTGTTGTTGGTCGATTCGCATCATCGCTTCTCCAAAAAGAGGACATCTTGTACGGTGAGTGTCTATATTCCTGCTATGGAGATAAACGTTGTTGCGTTGGATTATTTTCCATGTTCGAACACACACTCATCTCCGGCGCAGAGATGGAACTGCCAAATGAGAAATATATCAGAGAGAGTTTTGCGCCTTTTGTCTTGCCTTTTGTGAGAAAGGATTCTCACTCGCACGCAATCATTGGGATACTATCATTCCCAAACGAGGAAAAATGGCTCTTCAAATTATAATAATTTGGTTACGTGACCTTAGACCCCTTGTCACGGGAGCAGAGCTTATTTGGGATGAATGCTACTCTGATGAGAATATTCATTTCCTGTCCTTCATGAACGTTCAGGGTCGCATTTGAACCGTTTCTGATCGCTCTAAATTCGGAACATTTGAACAGTCAACAGAACGTTCCCAAGGACGTTCAGGGAAGGTTGGCTACGCCCTTCATGACAAGTTCATTGAACATATATTGAAAGTTCCGGTGCTACTTGGGCACATCGTCGGCACTTTCACTCTATGGTAAGCCTTCAATAGAAACATGTCATTTTTTCCTTTTTGGATGGTTTGGATTTAAAAACAACACAGGTAAGGTTATGTGGAGTTGAACTGCGAGTCCACGCTCGGGATCACTGGAGAGAAATGGCATTTTGCGGGACGAGCCACGTCCACCGTGAATGCCTCCATCGGCGAGGGAGTCGCAGGACTCGCTTGCATGTACGTATTGAACGGAAATGCAAATGAAAAACGGGGAATCCTTGTGCCTTGCTGATCCCTGCTAAGGTGCGCCTGACTGTTCCGGGATCGATCATGTTAATTTTGGGGATGATTGTAATGTCGATTCTCATCGATTCTTCCTTGGGTACTTTCGAAGAAAGGGATTGTGGACTTCCGGCTGTGCTGCGGTTTCTGAGAGGTACGAACTGCTGGCAGTTACAATGAGGACGGGTGGGGAGGACTGGCATCCATTCTTTGAGCGATGGGATGAAAGGGAAGGGAATTGAAGAGAGAAAATTGAATCTGATGAAATGCAATGAAAGAAGCATGATGAAATGAGAGTGAAAAATGAAATAGAACAAAATTCAATAAGGCCTGGGAGGCTCCTCCGTCTGCTTCAGCTGGGATCCCGTTGAGATGGCTGGATCTGAAATTGATCGAAAAAAATACTCAAGCATGAAGGTCGTCCGACAAATATAGTATGAACAGTACAATCTTGCCCTGAGTGTTATTGTGTAGGAAATGCCTTGGGTAAAATACACCCAGTGGCGTAAATAGGGTGTCGGGGGCGGGGGCGGGGACGGGGGGGGGTTCAACCCCCCTCCAGTTTTGTTGGAGCCTCCAACTCTGCTCAAAATGCATCCGACACCAAAAAATGACCAATAGATAAGGCCAAGCCATCATTGGCCTTAAAAGAAAACCGAGAAACACATTTTCCCAGGCCTCCCATAAGAGAAAGGGGATGGCACTCTCAAGTAATGAGGCTTCTTCTTCTACCCAGCTGATCTTCGCGCCGACAATCCAATCAGCAAAGTATTGTCCTATTGATGCCACCGTAATGATATTACTGCGTCCTAACGAGGGTTTCATTTTGTCGTCTTTTTCATCGCGGTATTGGTCTCTTTTGGTCGAAGTGGTTTTCTTCTCTTCCTTCTTTGCCCTTTTTAGGCCGAAAATGGATATTTTACGTTCAATGAGTTGAATAATGCAATAGGAGAAGCTGGAAAAGCTTAGACGTTAACAACAAAAAAATTTCTGAAACACTCAAGATGCGGAAAAATTATTGGAAATTAATGGTCTTCTTTAAACTCGAGGTGTCGCTCCTTCAAAAGAATCCATCATGGACTTCTCATATGATATCCTAAGCGAAACATGGAGATCTGCCAGTAAATAAAAGATTATGCGTTGTTTCCTAACAGGCAAGAAAAAACTAGAGGCAAAGCCTACGCACCGCTCCTCATCTGCCTAAGGTTTTTCATCTCCGCAAGTGGTTGACGCCAGCTGCAGGTTGCAAATAAGTCAATTGCCTAAATAAAATTACGAAATTTAGGGGTAAAAGAATCAAGAGGAATCATACACATGTGAAGAAAGTTATGGTGAAAGTTACATCATAGAAAAGTCTTTGTTGAGGTTGGCTTCATGGGGTTTTCGCATAGAGGCGCCACTTGCCTCGTGGCCCAATAGCCACGAAAAGTCGCTTGGAAGGTCCTGCGAGTCCCTAAAAGAGAAGTAGTCATATACGAAAAAATATACCCGATTTAACAACTGTCATTTATTCCATCCTCAAAACGTCATTCTATCTTGTAGGCCAGAATTGTCTGAAGTCTCCCTAAACTGGGCTATCTCTATGGACAAGTGCTTTTAGAAAATCAAATATCTTTGATTATATTCAATAAAAATGCATACAACATGGTGAGTACAGGAGAGATGTTCCAATGAGATCAGGGCATTCATCCCATCAGAGCGGCTATACAGTCGCCATCTCGAGTCGGTTGTGCACTGCAGAAGAAACCTCATGTGATCCTCATGACGTTTTCGAACAAGAGGTCTCATGAGGCCTCAATCCTCATGAGGACGTTTCGAAGCCTCATGAGGAACCGCACAATTCTCACGAGAAGGTCGTGAGACCTCATTAAGTACCTCATGAGGATTATATTATGAGAATTTCCTCATGAGATATTCGGTCAACCTCACGGGAAAGTCGTGAGACCTCGTGAATTTCCTCAGGCATGAAGGCCGCGACCTAGGGTCCAAGCCGACTGAAACGAAGATGAAGAGGGAATACCGCTCCTTCGGGATCAGGAGACTGAGAGGATGGGGGACTACTTGGCCTTGGCCTTGATCCTTGAAAGCATGGACAACGCATCAGCTGCAAGTATTGGGATCTCGTCGCTTTGACAACCATTGGAGTGCAACAAGTTACAATCAGAGGAGTGCTTCTGCGAAATCATATCATTATGAGGAGCCCTACTACTCCCTGGACAAAGGAGATTACCATCCCCAGCCTCGTGATGGGGATCAGAAGACTAAGACCCAAAGTTACTTCGATGACCAAGCCTGCACTACTCCAGAAATGGTTATCCTGCAATCTGGCCTCTTCATCTACCACCAGAATGGAGCAGTTCAACCGCCAACTGTGAAGGGGCCCTCGTATCCCATGGGCCATGTAGTAAAACACCACCAGTCTAGTCACAGAGGTAACCAACCAACTCCTACTTTTTGGAAGTCTAATTCTGCATGCGAGTAATTTGTGGAAGAGCCGGCAGAGAACA